GGGCCTGAGGCCGTAGTTATGTATACGTATACTTGGGCCTGAGGCCATAGCTTGTGCACATATATATTGGGCCCGAGGCCGTAGCTTATTCAGATAAACAGGTTGTTCATCATTCAGAAGAGGGAGTATTCATATCTTTACTTCCTTTGTTCAGTTCAGTTATCAGTTATCATTTCAGTTACCAGTTATCATTTCAGTTATCAGCTATCAGTTCAGATATCAGTTATCATTTCAGTTATCAGTTATCAGCTATCAGTTATCGCTTCAGTTTCTGTTTCAATAGTTATCATTTCAGTACCAATTATCAATTCTCAGTTACCAGCTTAGTTTCAATTTCAGCATTTATAGTTCTTTCTTTTAGTTGCTTTGCATACCAGTGCAATTCAAATGTACTGACGTCCCTTTTGCCCGGGGCCTGCATCTCACGATGCAGGTAATGATTTACAGGTTGACGATTCGGTGCGCTAGGATTCTCGTACCAGCTATTTGGTGATCCCTATTTCGTTCGGGGCATTATCATTACCTTACAGTCTTCAATATTTTCAAACAGTCAGTATTTTTAGTGCTTCATTAGAGGCTTCATAGACTAGAGTAACAGTTAGACAGAGTCACAAGCTTTTCATGTTAAGAAATGTTGGCATACATATATGTTTCAGACTTGTTTTAGTATTTTCGCACTTTGATTTATATCATCCAGACTTTCAGTATATCAGCATGTGTTAGTTTATCTTCCGCATTCAGCATGTTATGATATTACATGTTGATTCAGCCAGCCAGTTGGTTCGCTCGGTCACATGTAGTTAGGCACCGAGTGTCGTGTTACGTCCGGGCCAGGTTCGGGGCGTGACAAGAACCACACTCCACATAAGTCTTAAATTTACCATTTTCAATCAACTCTTTCTATTTTGATTTTAAAAGCAAGTAACCCATAGCTTTCGTATGCCATATTCTCTTAAAGATTAAACATGTCATAAACACCTTATGTGAGTTGAAAGTCAAACAACAACAACAACCCAGTAAAATCCCACTAATGGGGTCTGGGAGGGTAGTGTGTACGCAGACCTTACCCCTACCCCGAAGGAGTAGAGATGCTGTTTCCGAAAGACCCTAGGCTCAAGAAAACAAAAGGACAGAAGGACAAAAGGAGACAATATTGGTCACCACAAAAATCATAGGAAAAATAGGAACAACATGAAATCCAGAAGAAAGATGCAAAGCAAAAGCTATTAAGTTTCCATAGACGAGGACATGCATGAGGAATTGAGAGAAGAAGCAATCAGAGAAAACTCCATTGTTATTAACGACTGGAGAAGAAAAATAAGCTAAGAAGAGAAGGAGCTAACTGATATACACATGTCTAACTAACACTACTAATACATCTAATTAGTTAAATTAGTTACCAACTTCTAACTTGTACACTTTAACCCCTAAACTATCTGTACATGCATTAGAACCCTATACTATCCCGGCTCAATACTCCCCCTCAAGCTGGAGGGTAGAAAAATATTCTTCACTCCAAGCTTGCCAAGCAAATGATGGTGTTGTGTTCGTCCAAGTCCCTTAGTCAATAAATCTGCTATCTGCTCCTTAGTGTTCACATGTATATTCTTGATGATGCCAGCCTTTACCTTATCTCTGATGAAATAAAAATCAATGTCAATGTGTTTTGTGCGTACATAGAAGATAGGATTTGCTGCGATTTGGATTGCTGCCTTACTATCACAAAATAGAGTGACGGGTAATTGCAATTTGACATTTAACGCCCCAAGCAGACCGATGAACCAAACAATTTCTGCTGCAGTTGAAGCCATGCTTTTAAACTCAGCCTTAGCTGAACTTCTTGCCATTGTTTCCTGCTTCTTTGACTTCCAAGAGACCAAAGCATTGCCGTAGAACATTGAGTAACCAGTTACTGACCTTCTAGTTTGAAGGCATGCTCCCCAATCAACATTACAATATACCTGCAGAGTGCCATCACCAGATGAAGGCAACAATAGCCCTTGCCCTGGTGCACTCTTGATATATTTGACAACTCTTCTGGCTGCATCTAGATGAGATTGCTTAGAAGAGTGCATGTACTGACTTAAGGTATGTACAGCAAATGATATATCCGGCCTAGTCATTGTTAAGTATAGTAACCTACCCACCAATCTTTGAAACTCACCAGCATCCTTCAAGAGAGGGTCTTGGGTAGTATCTACAGAGGAAGAAGCCAATTTGTCAAAATCAACAGAAGTCTGGTGTGTTAAAGGGTTTGGCTCCTGCTAGTCCGAGGTCTGAAATCAGTTCTAAAGCATATTTGCGTTGACTCATGTATATGCCTTTATCTGATCGAGCAAATTCAATTCCAAGAAAGAATTTTAATTCTCCAAGGTCCTTCATTCTAAAGAACTGCTGCAAGCTGTCCCTTGTCCTGTTAATTTCTGTAATGTTGTCCCCAGTGACTATCAAATCATCTACATAGACTAGCACTAGGAGAATGTAAGTATCAGTTTTCCTGGTAAATAGAGAGTGATCATAGTGGCTTAGAGAGAAACCCATGGTCTATAGTGCCTTAGATAACTTGATGTTCCATTGTCGAGATGCTTGCTTAAGGCCATATAGAGACTTATGTAGCCTGCATACAAGATACTCCCCCTGCTTGGCAACCCCCTTAGAGAAACCTAGAGGAACAAGCATGTAAACTTATTCTACTAAGTCACCTTGCAAGAAGGCATTATGAACATCTATCTGATAAAGAGGCCAACCAGAGGAAGCTGCTAGTGCTACAATTGATCTAACTGTCACCATTTTAGCAACAGGTGAGAAAGTATTGTCACACCTCCTTTTTCACTACACTCCCGGAAGGGTATAATAAAGGGAGTTTTTCCAATTAAAGGACAACCGAAACGGGATTATGTTATTTAAAGAATCAGAGTCGCCACTTGGGAGATTTATGGTGTCCCAAGTCAACGGTTTAGAATCCCGAATCGAGGAAATTATTGACTCTGTTCAACAGTCCGCGAACCAGAAATCCGAGTAAGGAATTCTGTTAACCCGGGAGAAGGTGTTAGGCATTCCCGGGTTCCGTGGTTCTAGCACGGTCGCTCAACTGTCATATTTGGCTTATTTATTTGATTTCAAAACATATTTTAGCTTATGCTTTTTAACTTTGAACCGCTTTTATTATTATTATTTTAAGAGAATTGCAACGTCGTGAAAACACGTCTCGAACCGCGTCACATAAATGCACCCGCGATTTTTGACACATTTTGACTTCGTTGAGATTTGGATTTGGGTCACATAAATGCGCACCCGAGTTTAGGAAGGTAAGATTATTAAACTACCGTGCCTAAAGTAGTTTTGTATTTGCAATTTGCGAGGGCCATGGAAATTCGCTAAATGGCACGCCTCGATTTCTAAGGATAAACAAGATTAATTAAACGAGGGGCATGCAATTGTCATTTTTGTTTGGCATGGCGCACCTCAATTTATTTCAAAAGATTGCACTCAACTAAAGCAAACTACGGATGTTCATAAGTTATTTATTTTCAAGTTTGAGATCAAATATGAAAAGGTCCACAATGTATGCAATCTATTTGTATGAAAGTGACTGTAATTTGCTAGGGAAATTAAAAAGGGCGAGACTAGATGCACATGTTGTTGCAGGCTACTGTAATAGCACAATTTTTACTCAAGAACAAACAAGACACTATGAATCATTCAAGGCTACACCTGACTAACTTGTAGACATGATTGATGCCTACTGCTCCAATGGTACTTTAATTATTCAGAATCGTCCTTAAACCATTTAAACTCACCATTGAATACCATAATAGCGAGACACTGATTTAGAATAAGTAGCTCTTCCATTACAAAATAATCGTCAAACACCTACCCTTCTGTATATTTACATTTGAACTACCAAACAAAAGAGGGGAAACAATAAGTCATGAATATTTAAAGTAACTCCTAAACCAAATATGCACAATTAAGATCTCGCTGATCTTTTACTACATCAAAGAGGCATGTGTGTAGTACCAAACATGTTTGATGGGTTCAAAACATATACTTGCATCAATATGACAGAATATTGAACGCAGAACTCGGTCAGCTAACTCAAGAAGACATGCGAGTGGACATATTCAAAATCATAAATAACAAGCCACGGGATCAAATCACCAAACACAATTAATACTAGGATGAGTAAAGGATCGAAGAATTGGACCTTACTGTTAAAGTTCTTTAAAACTGATTAACGAACACAAAACCAGCAACGAAACGCGATTGTAGACTCCAAACGCCGACCTCGACAGAACCTCGTCGAACAACGGCTAACCACGACCTCGGCGCTCACTGGAAAGGTCAGACCAAATCAGAAAACAGACCTGACTAACACCATGACATTAGCTCCTAATCTGGAGTTGTCTCTTGGCTTTTATGCGTCTGTACGTCGTGGTGTATGTGTGTGTGTGTGAAGGTGAAGCTCGCCGGAGATGGGATCGTTTTGGGTTGCTGCGTTCTTTTTGTGTGGTGTTGTGTGTTCTCTAAAGATGATGGAAAGGGTTGAAGAAGGTAAGTTCAGGGAGGGGTCGTTTCTCTGGTGTTATGCCGCTGGTCGTCTGTGAGTTTTGAACAGAGGGTCGTTGGGGTGGAGCCAGGAAGACGAAATACAGGGGGTAGGGTCCTTGATGAAAGCTGCGCCCAGATTTTTTCTTCTCTCTCCTTTGTTTAGATTTTTAAGCATTATTTATAGGTTGAGTCTAGGTCTAGGTGTGTTTTTGTGTATTTTGCCCATTAGTCCCTAGGTTTTTTGTGTTAAGTCCTTAGGATCTTTTTTATTTATTTTTTATCCCAAAGAAGAGTCTAGAAGGGTCCCTAGACTACACAATGACTCTTTTTTTTTTGTATTTTTTTAAAAATAAGATAGAAATACTACACAATGCCAAAGCTAATCCTATTTAATTGAACTAGACATGAAACTATATATTTTTTTTGTTTTCGAAATTATATAAAGATAAAAATAAGGTACTATTTTTGTGTTGTTTTTTTTTTGAATTTATGAAAAATGCATAAACTAAAATATTTTTTGTAATTTTCATTTTTCTTGTACTAAAATAAATTAAAAGCGTCAAAATTAATTGAAATAGCGCTATTAGGCCTAAATTAAATATTTACATGCTAAAATATAAAAAATCTTGGGGAGGGTCAAAAATCACATGTCTACAAGTATCAGTGTAGTCAAGACCCTCCTTCTGTGTGTAACCTTTGGCTACAAGTTGAGCTTTGTATCTCTCGACCTCACCTGAAGCCTGATATTTAATTTTGAATACCCATTTACACCCTATAGACTGTTTCCCAGGTAGTAGTGGCACCAAGCTCCAAGTCTGGTTATCCTCCAAGGCTTGAATTTCTTGTTGCATAGCATCCACCCATTTAGGATCCTTAGCATCTTTAGTAAAAGATCTTGGTTCTGTCTCAAAAGAATAAGCATCCAAGCGTTTGGAGTAGTGATTTCCAATTGAAGATAGCTGACAAAGTTAGAAATAGGGTAGGCACTCTTCTGGGAACTCACATAGTCCTGCATCCAAATTGGGGGCCTAGAAATTCTGGAGGTACTGTGAGTTTCAAAGTTGTCACCATATATAGGTGGTGGTGAATGTGTAGTAATTGGAGGATCAGCAACAGGTGATGTAGGAGGATCATCAATAGGTGATGTAGGAGGATCATCAACAGGGCTGCTGAGAAAATTATCTTCCTGTACATCTGGGAGTGGGGAACCCATGAGTATTGTATCAGATGCAGAATATCATTGGGAAGTGTAATTGACACACGATGAGTATCAAAGTCTGTAATATTCACATGGTGATTAGGATGTGTAGATGAAGCCACTAAGCTTGATTCATTCGACAACTGCATAAAAGGGAAGTTGTATTCTTTGAAAATAACATCTCTGCTAACAAAAACCAGATGATTAGATAGATCAAATAGTTTATAACCCTTCTGAGTTAAAAAATAACCCAAGAATATTGTTGGATCAACTCTGGCAGAGAACTTATCCCTTTTCTTCAAGTTTGCAGCATAGCAAAGACATCCAAACACCATGAGATGGTCTAGTGAAGGAGTTTTGTTAAACACCAATTCAAATGGGAATTTCCCACCTAGTATCCTTGAGGGGATTCTGTTGACCAAATACACTACAGTCATAATGCATTCTCCCAAAAACTTTAAAGTAGATTTGCCTGGAACCTCGGTGACCTGGCAGTGTCCAAGATGTATCTATGTATCCTCTCAACTATTCCATTCTGTTGAGGGGTGTATGGACATGTGCTTTGATATGTAATACCTTCTGCATTCAGCAACTCCTTAAGTTGGTTACTGAAAAATTCTCCTCCATTGTCTATTCTAAGAGTTTTGATAGTGGAAGAAAATTTTGTTTTAATCAAAGCAATGAAGAATTTTAACACCACAATTGATTCATCCTTAGAATTCATGAGGCACACCCAGGTGAACCTACTGAAATCATCCACAAGAGTTAAGAAATATTGTTTGCCATCATTGGTGGGTACCCTAAAGGGTCCCCATACATCTGCATGAATAAGATCACCTAATGCATTACTCTTGTTAGTACTATCTGGACAGGGTAGATGTGTTTGTTTAGCCAAAGGGCATACAGAACAATGATCACCACAATAAACAAACTTTGTGTTTCCAAACATAGGTATCCTTTTCATAGTATCCATAGGTACATGACCTAACCTTTTATGCCATAAGATACCGTTTATTCTATTTACAGGCAGTGTAGAAGATATAAGGCCAATAGGAAATCCTTCCTGGGTGTTACTCTTGACAGTATGGTCTAGCACATATAGTCCACGATCCACTCTACCAATCCCCTTCACCTTGCCACTGCAGATGTCCTGGAATATACAACAGGCAGGAAAGAAGGCAAGAAATAAGCCCAAATCCTTGGTCAGCTTAGACACTGATAACAGATTGTACCTAAATTTAGGTACATAAAGTACATTCTTGATCATCATGCCATCTAATATACTGGAAGTCCCTAAATGTGTAATTACACTTGTCTTCCCAGTAGGCAATTGCACTTTTCTCGAACTATTTTTAGACAGCTCCACATAGTCAATGTATAAATGTAGGCTAGACACCATGTGATTCGTAGCTCCTGAGTCTATAATCCATCTATTTTCCTTGATCATACTCAGAAGTGACAGTGGTATACCTGCGACCTTAGCGTGGGTGGGCTGCTGTATCAACTGAAGTGTTGGTGTTGGTCTGGTTGAGCATTTGCAGTAGCTGATGATATTGCTCTTCTGTAAAGAAATATCCTGTTGGTGCAGCTTTTGTACGTTCCATCTGCTCATCAGGGCATGTAGATTTGTCCATCTGCACATGATGTGCTGCAGCTACATTCCTTCCAAAAGTCTTCCTCTTTGGTTTGAAATCTGCAGGATAGCCACCAGTTTGTAACAGACATCCCTAGTGTGACCCTTTTGTTTGCAATAGTCACAGTATAGTTGATTCTTTTGCTTGTAGCCTCCAGTGTATGTTTGCCCTGTGTTGTAACCTACAACATTAGCTCCATAACTTGCATTGGAAGCCATTGGGTTAGCTACATGACCTGTGTTATATACTATTGCATGAGCTCCTATTTCCAAATTACTGATGCCAGCTGCCTTTGGCTCGCTGACTCTCATCCTGCACAACCATCGCATAGGCTTCATTGATGTTTGGAGTTAGAATCATCAACATTATCTGCCATTTTCCTTGGCAAATGACTCATTGAGACCACTCAAAAATTGCACCAGACGTTGTTGTTGAGTATGTTCCAGGAATATCTTCGATTCAGGACACGGACATGAAGGAGTAGGTGTCATAGCATCATACTCATCCCATGGATCCTTTAGTTTAGAATAGTAAGTTGATACTGGCTCTAAACCTTGCTTAAGAGCTAGTATAATTTCCCGATGCAAATTGTAGATTCTAGAAATGTTCCTTTTGTCAAAACGTTCCTTCAAATCCTTCCATACATTGTATGCAGAAGATCCATAGACTACAGTGCTATTGAGCTCCTTGGTAACGTCATTCATTATCCACGATAGCACAAATGCATTGCATCTCTCCCACTGATCATGCAAGTTTTGTTCAAAATTTTCCCCTCTTACAGCTTCCGTCAATGAATCCAATTTTGTTCTTCGTAAATAGTCCAATTCTCATAGATCTAGACCACAAGTTGTAGTTTTCAGTCCCTATTAGCTTGAATTCAATCAGATGTTCTCCCGGCGTGTCTGAAGGTCGCAAATACAGGGGATGAGTGTGCCCTAGCACAATCTCAGCACTCGATCCTTCATCAATTGCCATTTTTTGCTCTGAATTGGAAACTCTAGCTCTAGGAAGACGATCGCCGACGAAGTGGAATTTGAAATCGAAGATCGGAGTTATGATATTGATAGAAGAAAAAGGAACACAGCGAAGCTAAATTGACCGCTCTAATACTATATTAAGTTTCCACAGAAGAGGACATGCATGCGGAGTTGAGAGAAGAAGCAATCAGAGAAAACTCCATTGTTATTAACGATTGGAGAAGAAAAATAAGCTAAGAAGAAAAGGAGCTAACTGATATACACATGTCTAACTAACACTACTAATACACCTAATTAGTTACCAACTTCTAACTTGTACACTTTGACCCCTAAACTCTCAATACATGCATTGGAACCCCATACTATCCCGGCTCAATAAAAGCGATAGCTAGTAAATAGGTCCTGCACTGAAAAGTGAAATAGTAAGACACAACACTGCCACTAGCTATCTTAGACGAAAACCCTACCTGACTAGTCCCACAATGGTACGAAGTAAGGAAAGACTCAATTACCTCCTAACCTACAACCCTAATACTCGACCTCCACATCTTCCTATCAAGTGTCATGTCCTCGAAAATCATAAGTCTCGCCATATCCTGCCTGATTACCTTTCCCCAATACTTCTTAGGCTGCCCTCTACCTCTTCTCGTGCCTCCACAACCAGCCGCTCACACCTCCGTACCGGGGCATCCGGGCTTCTCCTCTAAACATGCCCGAACCATCTGAGTCTCGCTTCCCGCATCTTGTCATCAATGGGAACCACGTGCACCTTCTCCGAATATCATTATTTCTAATCTTATCCATCCTAGTGTGCCCGCACATCCACCTCAACATTCTCATTTATGCTACTTTCATCTTCTGGATATGTGAGTTGAAAGTCAAATTAAACAATATTTAATCTAAAATTAAAAGGAAAAACTACATTAACTAGCCGCTAAAAAAATCGGGATTGTTTTTTGATTATTTGACTAGCGAATGTAATGATTTTGATTGACCGACCAAATGTGTAACTTGCCCAAATAAATTTTCTAACCAAAAAATATTTCGGTTATTTAGAAACGAGTTTCCTGAAGGCAAGCCCATTTTCATTTGAGTTTGGGTGTATATATATATACCAGCTTTGTCCATTTATAAGTAGCTCATTACAAAAATTGGCCAAATTATAAAATATTACTAACATTAGCCAAATATTACTAATATTAGCCAATTAGCTATTTGTAGCAAAAAAAGTTACATTTTTTGCTTTCTTTTGAGTGGGTGTTATTAGAATAGATGGGGTACATCTTAAGGAGCTTGAATCTCAATTTTGGGATGATTTGGTGAAATGTTGAGGTGGTTCGAGTTGAAAATTCGAAGTAAAAACTGAACATGAAAAAAAAAATGATATGTGTATCACACTACGTATCATTTGTGTATCACATATGTATCATATTTGTATTAATTGTGTATCACATGTACACCTGTGTGTGAGATACATATATCGCAGAAGAATTTTTTGAACTCGATTTAATTACAAATTTTGATACAAAACTAGTCCATATCACCTCCAATCATCCTCAAATTTTGTATATTGACTTATCTATATGTTTTCAATGAATATACCCATTGAAAAAGTTCCTTTTTTGCTTAGATTTTTTTAATATTGTATATTTTTTTTTGTATTTCATCACCTTATTTTCTACCTCATCCATGAAATTTCCTTTCCGTCGTGCACCTAATATTTCTAATCACGCTTAAAAATATGGAAGTTGATTTTTGCATGTGGTTCTTTGAGAGAAATAACCTTATTTATTTGGTTTTTCAATTTTTATATGTGCTTGACTAGTTTTGATAAGTCTATGACTAATTGCCAGAGGTTGGTAAGTTGAGACTTATTTAGGATATTTGTGTAAATTTTTCTATTTTTCTGACTGTTATTTTGAGAGTGGCTATACAATGTCATTTTTTCCGTACGATTTTTCAGATTAGGCCCAAGTAAATCGACGTTTCAGATTAAGCCCATATAGAGCCCACAATTAGGAACCGGATCCAAAACGTCCACCGAGAAGCGACAGCGACTTTGTCATCTTCAATTCATTTCACAGAGGCAATTTCGCAAGAAATCTAAATAGGTAAACAAAGCAAACCAAAGCTTCACTTCAATTCCATCTCTACAAGTATAAATTCGATCAACTACTAATCGTCCACAAATTTGCGAACACTTTATATTTTTACATGGTATAAACACATCAGATGAATACATCGCAGTACATGGATAAACAGATCATGGATCTATCCAATTCACAGAACAACAATAATGACTTCATCGATCTCATTAATCCTCAAGTGGACCATCACATTAGCGGCGATCCAAAGAAAGAAGATATTGTTGCCAGTTACGAATTTCATCCAATTCGCCCAATTGGATCGTCATCGCCTAAGTCTAATGTTGATTCTAGTAATGTTGGGGCTGCAGCTAGGGCTTGGAATTCTGCTGATTCTAAAAACAATACTGAGAGTAGCATCAGAGTAAACCCTAATACTTTCTCTATATCTATTTGCAATTTTGCATGCATACATTTATTTGTTATAATCTGAGGCGGATCTTAGATTTTGACTTACTGGATACAGACTATTACAACAACGGTTTGTTTATGTGGGCAAATTAGTGTGTGTGTGTGTATTCAGATTCAGAATTTGAACTTTATGGGTTCGAGTTTGGGATTCTACTACAATTCATTTGATTTAATGTGTTTGAAATAAATTATTTGTACTTATTTAGTGGACGCATATAGAAGTCCGAGCCATGGTTACATATATAGATGAATTTGCTATTATAGTTCAAAATGGTCTCTGCTGCTATAGAATTGATCAGCTCGAATGTGGGGAAGGATTTATGTATTGTTATATCTTGCATTATGACATATAAAGCTAAAGTAATGCAAGGTAATTTGTATTAAGAGTTGTTGCAAACAAGGCAACTTATTATGGATATTCAGTATCTAACCAAGAAGCAGGAGGATAATTGAATTGCAGGGTAAGGGGAGGGGGAAGGGAGGTATTATTGCATTCCTAAGCTGGCTTATTATGGCAAGTGCCCTGTTGTGCATCAATTCTACACTCTACTACGATTCAAGAAGTTCTAATTTTGTTGAAGAAGAATCAACTAAGTTACTCAGCATATAACACCAACGCTTTTACTAGCCCTGTTTTTCCTCATGAAAGAAATCTGGCCTGTTGATCCTTTTTCTCTCTCGAATCTCTTTTGATGTATTATGTACCTCTAATTATACAATACTAGCGAGAAAAGTTCATTTTTGTGGCTTCTCTTAGCATGTGCCCTCTGTGCTCCTCCTATCTGGATTCCCATGACACAGAGCAGGCTAGTCAGTGTTTCTGACTTTTAATTTGTGTATTGCCAAGATGTAGATTCTCAATTAGTATTTTTGGTAAGAGAAGTTAATGCTTGGGGCTTCTCCTTACATGCTATTTGCATGTGCTTAATTAGTTAGCGTGGGACTTTTGAGCAGGGGGTCAAATGGGCAGCTTGGGTCAAATTTGGATGGGTTAAGACAAGTTGAGCCAATCAATGTGCCGTTGTCGAGCCCACACAAACTTTTGCCTATTTCTTCACAGGACCGACTATCTATCAAAAACCCGACAGATAGTATTTTGAAACAAATTTTTACGTGAGGAACAAGAACCACAAAGAGAAATAACTAAGCAGACTAGGAACAGAAGAAAAACAAGTAGAATCCACTAATCAACTGTTGTTGTCGGGCTTGGTCGTGGTCGTAGCTCCATCCCTGGTAGAGAGGTAGATCCAAGAATTCAATTGGATGCACTGCTGCCGACTACAGAAGTTGGACTAGAGAGGAAAGACGGGAAATAGCGATTTCCCGGAAAAAATGGGTTTTACGACAAACATGTAAAGATTTTATATTTTTCAATACTTAACACCATTTATGGATGACTGATTAGTAACATAGGTAAGATGACAAGTGAACTTGTGAAAAAGAAAGAAAAAAATAAAAGAGAAGAAAAGATCATCTTAGAGAAAGACCCCAAATGTTATATCACTATTTAGTTTAATGGTACCTTACAACACTTTTACATTATTAAAATTTGAAGGCCCTAGCATAATATTCTACTAGTTTATAAGAACTGTATTTTGAAAATGCTAAAGAAATAAGTCATGTTAAAAGGTTTCAACCTCTTTACGCAAATGCAGGTAATTAATTCCTTGACCAACCACATGTCTTTGTTTAGTGCACCACATGCCTTTGTTTTATTGGGTTCCCAAGGATAGTATTGATTTGATCTATGAGAATCGTGTACAGCATAGTATATAACTTGGGGACTGAGCATGGGTTTACAGGAACCCAAAGCTTGAACGTGGATCCGCAACTGCCAGGTAGCGTGAGAAGGAGAGAAGAGAAGGTGCTATATATATATATATATATATATATATATATATATATATATATAGAGAGAGAGAGAGAGAGAGAGAGAGAGAAATTATTGCTATTTTCATTTTTCACAGGTTCTCTGGGGTTAGATCTTCAATATCCTAACGAGTCGACTAGGGCCGTCATAATAGTTCAAATTGATCCAACTTTTTAGACAGATAGCCCAAACTATTCAGTGAATATTATATTACTTGCTCAACACCATATGTGAATTCTACACCAATTTTTTCAGTTAATGGAGTTCTTTTATATTTACGTTTCTACTTCTGTGCAGAATTATGGTTCTCTTGACTCGACTGAAGCTGCCAAAGTTATTGTGGAGAAAGATTTGAGCAGTGTTCATTCATCTTTGTTATCGGAAATTGATCACACAGTTAAGAAGTATGCCGATAATCTTCTGCATGCAATGGAGGGAATAAGTGCCCGGCTATCACAATTAGAAACTAGAAGTCGCCAGATTGATAACTCTGTTGATGAACTTAAGTTGTCTGTTGGTAACAACCATGGAGTCACTGATGGAAAACTGAGACAGTTGGAAAATATACTCAGACAGGTATCTGCAGTTCTTAGATTTATCATCTTGTTTCAATTAAGTTGCTTGTGGTCCGGCCCTTCCTCGGACCCCGCACATAGCGGGAGCTTAGTGCACCGGGCTGCCCTTTTTTTCAATTAAGTTGCTCTTGATTTGGCACCAAAATAAATATATCAAACTGCTCTAGAGTTGGGTATGTGTATGCCGCTTCTATGTTTCTTCGGTTGTTGAATAGACTAACTATTATCTTTAGCACTTTTCAGTAGTTGTCCTTAGAATGAGAAGTGCAAGAGAAGTGCCCCTTTTACCCTTGTTTCAAGACCACGGTCTTCGTGTCTTTATGTTATTGCCTCTTTCCTCATCTATTTTTACCTATGCTGAGTACTGCAATATAGTTGTAGTTCTGACTTCTGGTTCATACACTATGAATTGTTTTCTCATAGGTTTAATTGTCTCTTTGTTTAATGACAGTGCAAGGACACCTTGATCCATGTATATAGATCTATTTATTTTTGGAAAAAACATGTATATAAATCTAAAACTTTTAGATGCTGGAGAACCTTGATACAACTCAATGACATGCGGGGAAAAGGGAGTGCTCGTTAAGCACTGCATATCAATTAATTCATATTAAGTTACATAGGGAGGTTGTGAATTGTTCTCTATTTGCTTCAGGTGGTGATTTCAGTTCTGGAATTGTCATTTGTGCCCTAGCTAGCTTTCTCCTTTGTGATATCAATTCACCCTGGCTTGTAGTGGGATGATCACTTTGAAGTCTTTGGTAATGACTAATTTATCAAAATTTTGGAAAAAGCACACATAATATTTAGGATATCATTCTGGTGGCGTGATGAACGGTATTATCATAGGCTGATTGGTGATTATTTGGTGAGATAATTTTGCCATCTTATCTGCTTTGCGCCTGACCCAAACCCCGCTATGTGGGATTATACTGGGAATGTTGTTGTTGCATCTGCATTGCGCCAGAGAATGATGAAAAATTTGATATCCCACCAGTAAAGGATAAATTTTTATATTTAACCTGGCGTGATGTATTCTTTTCCTTTTGTTCTATCATGATGGTGGAGGAATGTCTTAAACTAAGTCTGGCCTTGTATGTCTTCTTCGC